GTTTTCAGGCTGGAGAGTGATGGAAGCTCCCAACCACTCCTTTTTTTCTTTTTTTTAAATTCTGGGCCAGCTTTAGCTCTGAGGCTCTAGCTCTCAGGCCTCGGCTGCTAAAAGTAGGTATCTGGTTTGTTTCGGTTCTAATATCGAAACTGTATCAACTCCAGCTCTGAGATCCTGGGCTCGCTGAAAGCAGGTTTCTAGTTTTTTTTTTAGCTTCTGTATTTGTTAAAATGTTTCAAACTGCAGGCTCAGAGGTCTGCAAGGCAGGCAGGGAACGTTGGTTTCCTCCGTCACTGAGGGAAGCAAGCCTCATGTTAGTTTCAAGCTGCCTGGCTGCCGGCCGCCATCTTGGCTGACAGTTAATTTGCATATCTGCTGATTAGCCAATGGGAAGGGTAGCGGTCATACGCCAATTACCATGTTTCTCTTTTATTAGTGTAGATTGGACACAGATAATAGGGTGGTGAAAGCCTGGGGCAGGGGGTGGAGTGGGCTTGAAGGGCTCAGTGGGGAATAAAAGGGGACATAAGCAGTACTTTCAACAATAAAGATTAAAAACAATAGATTCAGAGACATAGAAGCATGGAATAGACCAGTGGTCGGCAAACTCATTAGTAATAGAGCCAAATATCAACAGTACAATGATTGAAATTTCTTTTGAGAGCCAAATTTTTTAAACTTAAACTATTTAGGTAGGTGCATTGTTATTAACTTAATTAGGGTACTCCTAAGGCTTAGGAAGAGCCACACTCAAGGGGCCAAAGAGCAGCATGTGAGCTGCAGTTTGCCAATCATGGGAATAGACTATCCAATCTCAGACGGAAGGCAAGGGTGGGTGGGTAGGAGGAAGAGATCAACTAACCAAAGCACTTGTATTCATATATGCATAACCCAGGACACAGACAATAGGGTGGCGAAGGCCTGGGGCAGATGGGTGGGAGGTTTGGGGGGCCGAGAAAGGGTCAAGGGAGAAAAGGGGGCACATATGTAATACTAGAGTTTAAAAAAGAATATGCCCCGACTGGTTTGGCTCAGTGGATAGAGCATCGCCTGTGGACTGAAAGGTCCCAGGTTCGATTCCGGTCAAGGGCATGTACCTTGCTTGTGGGCACATCCCCAGTAGGTGTGCAGGAGGCAGCTGATCGATGTTTCTCTCTCATCGATGTTTCTAACTCTCTATCCCTCTCCCTTCCTCTCTGTAAAAAATCAATAAAATTTATTTTTTTAAAAAAGAAGAAATATTCAGGGTATTTTGAAATTGGAGTAAACATTTGTTAGGAAAGAAAAGGCCTAGTTTAGTCAGCAAACATTGGGGAAAAGATATCATTTCTTTGGATATCTTAAAGGAGAAGTGAGAGCAATGGTATTGTTTCGCATTAGGTCAATTTGAAGTGGATGAGGGAAAGTACTTGAATTTTAGATTCTACATTTTTCCAAGATATTTTTCAACAATGGAAGTAACAGGTTTCAACTTCCCAACCAACAGATTTGGCCCTTTCCCTCAAACTCTGCAATTTTCCCCTAAGTTAGGTTATCAGTAGTTTTACTTAACTATCAAAAAGACACAGCAATTAGTAACGGGAGTAAGCTGCTAAAAGTACTACTTATAAATAGTAATTAAACAATTTTATATAATTCTTTTCTTTAATCCTTATCTGAGGATATATTTTAGTGATCTTTTCAGATAAACATTGATGTGAGAAACATTGATTAGAGAAATATCAATCAGTTGCCTTCTGCATGCACCCCAACCAGTAACAGAACCTGCAACCTAGACATGTGCCCTGACTGGGAATCAAACCTGCAAACTTTTGGTGTATGGGACAATGCTGCAATCAAGCCACCTGGCCATGGCTTATATTTCTTTATAATCCAGGCCTTTATCCATAAACTTTTAAAAAATAAAAGTATTTTCATTGATTTCAGAGAGGGAGAGACACAGAAGCATCAATAATGCGAATCATTGATGGGCTGTCTCCTGCCTGTGCCCTTGACTGGAATCAAACCAGGGACCCTTCAGTCCACAGGCTGATGCTCTATTCACTGAGCCAAACCAGTTAGGGCCATCCATGAACTTCATAATCACCGAACCAAAACCAGTTCATTGCTTTATGTGACCATATTTTTTTAAAAAATGTATTTTATTTTTTTACAGAGAGGAAGGGAGAGGGATAGAGAGAAACATCGATCAGCTGCCTCCTGCACACCACCCAATGGGGATGTGCCCACAACGAAGGTACATGCCCTTGACAGGAATCGAACCTGGGATCCTTCAGTCCTCAGGCCGACGCTCTATCCACTGAGCCAAACCGATTAGGGCGAAACTCTCTTTCTTGAAGACTTGTCTTCACATTGTTACAGAATGAATTCTTCTGGCAACATTTCTGGAGGAAAATCCAATACATATGAGTAAGTCAGACTAATTAGTTCTTCTCAACATTCTGTATTTTTCTTTCAAACTCCATCCTTGCCTATCTCTGTTGCTATCATGCCATGAAATGCCTGCATTCCAGGTAGTCCTACCAAAGTAGGTTCGACACAAGTGGGGGTAAGAATAGCCTGTGAAGACAAACTCATACTTGGTTTACTTACTGCTTTAATTAAAATCAAAGGAGAGCCCAGCCAGCTTTGCTCAGTGGTTGAGCATTGACCTATGAACCAGATCAGGGTTTGATTCCTGGTTAGGGTACATGCCGGGATTGTGGGCTTGATCCCCAGTAGGGGGTGTGCAGGAGGCAGCTGATCAATGATTCTCATCATTGATCTTTCTCCCTCTCTAAAATCAATAAAAATAAAACCATGAACTAAATGAAAACAACCAACTGAATGGGGGAACATATTCACCAATGATACAGCAGATAAGGGGTTATCCAAAACCTATGAAACTTATGCAACTCAACACCAAAAACAATCTTATAAAATGGGCAAAAGATCTGAATACACTTCTCCAAAGAGGACATACAGCCAATAGACACATGAAAAAATACTCAATGTCACTAGTCATCAGAGAAATGTAAATTAACCCCCTAATGAAATGACTGAAAATTTGCCAGAATAGCTATTATCAATCATTCAACATATGTTGTTGGCAAAGATGTGGAGAAAAGTAACTCTTGTGCACTGTTGGTGGTAATGCAGATTGGTGCAGCCATTATGGATATGGAGTTACCTCAAAAAATTAAAAATGGAACTGCCTTATGACCTAGTAATTACACCCTGGAAACATATGTAAAATACTCCAAGCACTATTCAAAAGAATGTATGTACGCCTATGTTCATTGCAGTGTTAATAGCCAAGACTTGGAAGCAGCCTAAAGGCCCATCAGATGAGTGGATTTAAAAAGTTGTGGGTGCATTTACATAGTGGAATACTATTACCTTTTCTGATAGCATGAATGAAGAATATTATGTGAAGCGAAATAAGCCAGTCAGAGGATCATAGATCACTCATATGTGGAATCTAATGAACTAAACTAACCAAGTATAAACAGACTCAGAGGGAACAGTGACAGCTGTTAAGAGGGTTGCGTGGAAAGGTGAAAAAGTTGAAGCGATTAAGAAAGAACAAAGCGCTGAGACATGGACAACAGTATGATTACCAGAGGAAAAGGAGGGTTGAGGGATGTAGAAGAGAGTAAAGGGGAAATAAATGCTAATAGACTTGACTTGGGACTGTGAACACCCAAAACAACATACAGGTGATGTTATAGAATTGCACACCTGAAGCTTATATTTTATTCATGTCCTCACAATAAATTCAAAAAAATTAAAAAAAAAAAAACTTTCATTGATCTCAAAGAGAGGGAGATAAAAACATCAATGATTAGAATCATTGATAGGCTGCCTTCTGTATGCCTCCTAGCGGGATCGAGCCAGCAACCTGGGCATGTGCCATCACTGGAATTAACTTGGGACCCTTCAGTCGTCAGGCCTACACTCTATATGAACTGGCAAGGCTCAATAAATTTTTTTAATGTGAGAATACTTTTAACTGAATATGTATTCATGATACTTGTGTGAAATGTACGAACTGGTTACCTCTTTTTAAAATGTAATTAATCTGTTCCACTTACAAAATTGCATTTGGTAGATAATTCTTTGCAGAGCTTATGAGGAGCGCCCTTGGTTGAAAAAAAAATTTGGTTGCCACTTTAAAAAAAAAAATAGAAAAAAGCAGAATTATGGTTATCCTTCCGAGGATTTCCTACTTAATATCAAGTTTATATCCACTACATCTGTCTTTTTACATAGAGTTAACAACTTATTTTGATGTTGAACTATCCTTTGGAAGACAATTTTAAGTAGCAATACTATCAAATATTATAGCCAACAGCTTTAGGTAAGGTCAGACCCAGCAAATTCCTAGACTAGGATCCACACCCTCTTAATATTTACTAGTAAGACAATTCCAATTATAATTTGTAACTTCTGACAATTGAAACAATACCTCATTATGAGTTAAATAGCAGTATGCCAAAAAGCTAAAATGGCATTTGCTGTCAAATATCTTGAGGCTGACCCAAATATGATTAACATTTAATTGAGCAAGAAACTTCCCATCTAGGATTTAAGTTGTTACCACGAATGGTTTTTTCAGTTTTGGTCAAATATATTTGCTCAATTAGTACTCCCACAAAATAAGCTTCAGGCAGGGATTGAACTGCGGAATAGAATCATGAGACCTCTGATGAGATTCACTTCATATAAAAACACTTAAATCTTATGTTTCTAGTTTAATCTATGAATTATCCTTGAATATGTGAAGTTAATATATTTTAAACCTCAAAGAAGTGATACCCTTTTTGCTTATAGCTGTAATTATCCTTAATTCATTTGTGATATAAATTTGCTTTTGGCAGTGGTAGAATCCACGGTTGCCAAACGTTAAAAGTTGGACTATCCTGGTTCCCAAGCCAAAGCTTGGTTTCTTGCAACATCCTGAACATATCAAGAGTCCTGTGAAGCTGAGCTGTAGGAAGATAAGAACATTATACATGACCATTGTTGGAAAGTTACAAACATTATAAACAATATGTATTTTATATAACTAATTGAAATAGGGCAACCAGTCAAGGCCTAAACTCTTACCTGATTCAAGAAAACCACTTAAGCCCTAGACCAGTGATGGCTAACCGTTCAGCTCGGCGTGTCAGCATTTTGAAAAACCCTAACTTAACTCTGGTGCCATGTCACATATAGCAATTTTTTGATATTTGAAACCATAGTAAAACAAAGACTTATATTTTTGATATTTATTTTACATATTTAAATGCCATTTAACAAAGAAAAATCAACCAAAAAAATGAGTTCACGTGTCACCTCTGACACGCGTGTCATAGGTTCGCCATCACTGCCCTAGACAGTTTGGCTTACTGGCCTGCGGACTGAAGGGTCCCAGGCTCAATTACGGTTAAGGGCACGTACCTTGGGTGCAGGTTCCTCCCTGGCCTGAGCCCTGGTTGGAGGCAACCAATCTATGTCTCTCTCTCACTAAAAATCATTGAAAAATATCCTCAGGTGAGTATTAAAAACAAAATCAGCCGAAACCGGTTTGGCTCAGTGGATAGAGCATCGGCCTGCGGACTGAAAGGTCCCAGGTTCGATTCCGGTTAAGGGCATGTACCTGGGTTAAAAATATATTTAAAAAAAAAAAAAAAAACAAAATCAAAATTACTTAACAAAAAACACCTTAAAACCTATTTTTTAAAAAGTTTTGTTAAACCGCTCCGGAGGAAATTTATATTTCCCCATGAAACACCAATGTGAAAGGGACACATTGACTGCTTGCCTCCCCCGTGAACTCCACCAGGGGTGGGAGCTAACCTACAACCCAAGGACGTGCCTTTGACCCGGAATCAAACCCAAAACTTTTTGTTCCACTAAGGAACACCGGCCAGGGCCCCTTAAAACATATTTTTAGTCATACACCAATAGTTAACACAGCCAAAGAGTTGAACAAAGCTGAAGTTTAAAAATCTTCCACTATTACTCTTTGAATACATTTAAATCCTTACCATTTGCTGTTTTAGAAACAAATTGCTATCAGCAGGATTATATTCTATTGAAATGATGGCAGTGTTGCCACAAACTTGTTAGGAAGATGGCAATTATACAAAATGGCTAATTCTCCAAGTAACATGAGGTTCTTTAAGTGCTTAAGCTTTAATCTAGTTTATAGAAGACTAGTTTATCCTCTGGAAACAAGTTCAACCCAGCTGGTTTCCTTTTTGTATTCCGTTCTCTACCCTTTTTTGCGTTTTATAGGCCCTGTATACATTTTCCCCTTCCGTTCACTTCTAAGGGTTACATTTCACAAGAACACAAATCAAGAATATCTGGCCCTGGCCAAGTGTGGCTGTTATCCTGTGCACAGAAGGTTGCCGGTTCAATTCCTGGTAAGGGTACGTGCCCAGTTTTCAGGCTTAATCCCTGACAGGGGGCCTGAGAAAACAGATGACTGATATTATGCTCTCACATCAATATTTCTCTCTCTCTCTCTCTCTCCCTCTCAAAAAAAAAAAATCAATTTTAAAAAATATAAAAAACAACAATATTTGTAGTAGTTTGCACACCTGGGTTCTCATTCTTCATTACACTGACCTCCTAACCAGGACACAAGACACTCACTCCCTTTCATCACAAAGGTAAAATGTATCAAATAAGATATTTGATTCTTGGGAACAGAAGGTATCTGAGCATATTAACTTTATATATAAACTGCTTTTACTCCTAGGCACTTCAGAAATATTTGCATGTCAACATGTTGCACACATCATTTTAAAATGAAATACCTAAACACAAATAACCCCTTTCATTAATGTAGGAATAATTTTGAGCCATTAAAGGGAAAATAAATGTAAACCAAGTTTATTTTGCTTTTTAAAGTAGTGTTCTTAAAGCACTACAGCTTGGTAAACAATGTAAATTAGTATAAGTCATCTCAAAAGCCAGTTTTGTTGTTTGTTTTTTAATGAGTTGTTAAAAAGATGCAGCCTATTCTACCAGGATAAATATTTTTAACCATTTCACTTCGAGTTAATGAAGGCTCACAAATGAGCAACACTCCTCATTGAGGAAAACAAAAAGCTGTTGTCGACAAGCGACAGCACACACACACAAAAACAAAAAGAACTGTGTAAAAATAACTAACTGTGTTCACATATTTTTGAAGTTGCTTTACAATGGGATGATATGCACATGATCTTGCTGCAAACTTGCCATACAGACTTGTAATACATGTAGTCTAGACAAACGATTCAGTCCAAGAGGTGCTAACTTCTGACAATGCAGCACTATAATCCTTTTAACAATGCAATTTGTTTTACTCATTATTTTTCTTCTAGACTGAAATACAGGCTAGAAAGAAAATGCTCCCTAATTAAAAATTGGTAGTTTACAGAAAAAAAATTGTATAATTTTGCATTAGAATTTACAAGTATATGTTCAAATTGGATTTGCCTCCTCCCCCATCCTAGCCACAAGATGGGCATGAAGTAGAATTTTAAAAAATGCCTTAATTTTCAACTTCATGCAGACTAAATAAAGATGACCAAAACAAAAGCTTAAACAATGGAAGGTATTTCACAGAAAATTTCTTATACAAAAAACACATAAGAAAAAGGGCCACTAGGTGACATTTTAATTTACAAATTGGCATCATTTTGGTCGACAAATATCCAGATGCTGTTTTCTTCTGCTAACAAAAGTTGCAGAGAAAAAAAATCAAATCCTAGCATGACTTCCCATTTTAATCACACATTTCTTCTGGAATTTCATGTGGATTAAGGATGCCAGGGACAGACATTTGAAGTTTATGTTTCTCTTCCTGAGCCTGTCGGAGGGCTGTTTCTCTTTCTTCCAAAAACAGGTCAGATGTATCTTCACCTGCAAACTCCTGTAAAAGCAGATAGTTGAAAGGTCAACATAAGTGTGCTATGAAAAACAAATAGATTTTTTCGGGGAAAGGTGGATATAAGCATATTCCCTGTTTACACAAGGGATATAATTTTTCCATCCATTGGTTGTGTTTAAATTTCAGTATTATGTAGATGAATTAAACACCGAAGGTGGTACACAGAATTTGAGCGTCAACCTATGAACCAGGAGGTCATGGTTCAATTCCCAGTCACAGCACATGCCTGGGTTGAATTGCAGGCTTGATCCCAAGTAGGGGTCCTGCAGGAGGCAGCTGATCAATGATTCTCATCATTGATGTTTCTCTTTCTCTCTCCCCCACTCTCCAAAATCAATAAAAATATATTAAAAAACAAAAAGCCCCCCAAAAAGGTGCTAGTGGGAAAAAGGTTATAAAAGAGTCATAGAATGATGACATACACACACGCCAGATTATTATGACCACCCCATCAGTACTTCGTTGGGCCACCTTTTGCCTTCAATACTGCGGCAATTCTTCTTGGTATTGACTCCACAAGATGTTGAAAGGTGATGCAAGGAATCTGACACCATGCCTGATGAATAGCACTGTCCAGTTCTGTGAGATTTGGTGGTTGTGGAACCGGCTGCCTGATGGCTCTTTTAACTTCATCCCACAAATGCTCAATTGGATTGAAATCTGGTGATTGTGGGGGCCACCTAAGCAAGGTAAAGTCTCCCTCATATTCTTGGAACCACTCCTGCACAATATGAGCACCGTGGTATAGCGCATTGTCTTGTTGGAAGAAGCCATCTCCATTGGGACATGCCATCAACATGATAGGATGAACCTGATCAGCAACGATACTTAGTTATGTTGTGCTATTCAGACGTTTATAATGGTCTGGCCCTCTAGCAATCTCAGTGTGAAATTATAGCTAATTTGACTACAAATGTCAGGTGGTCATAATAATCTGGCCAAAGTATGTATATGTGTGTGTATATAAATATATTAAGCAAAGATATAAAACAGCTGTTTCTCCTAACTAATGATCAAGTTAGTCTTATATTTCTGCAAATGCAGATAAATTACATACCTTTATTTGAACTAGGAAATCCCTAAGATGTTCCTTGAAAGCAGGAATATCCTGATTTAAACTGAAAAGCCCTGTCACAAAGAGCTTTACTTGAGCACTGCAAATCAAAACATAGTAATTAAATGATTGTTTTTTTTAAATAAGAAATTTGTTTATTAAAAAAATAATAATATATATATATTTTTACTCTTGCAGATGAGGGAATGCAGACTTAAGGAGATTAGCCACATATTCCTGAATAAACATTTGGTTGTTAACTGGATTTCCAGGATTTAATGGTGTACTTATTTTTCCTTCTTCAACCAAATTGAACATATATGCAAGTATTGACGCATGCATCGTCAAACCTGTTGATGAAAAGATGATTAGCTCTAAGATTTAACAACTGGAACAATTAACATTTTTATAGCTTTAAATCCTTACCAGCAGTATGTGAGGTGTCTGTCACAACAGAAAAGATATGTTGAAGAATATCACAAAAATAAGTTTGATAAAAACTCTGAGCTGCAGCTTCTTCTTGTGCAACATTTTGCAAAAGTGTAAAAAGAATCTGTAAGCCTAAAATACATAGAACAGCAAATTACAGACTGGTAACACTCATATGATAGTATTTTACCAATAAACTATTCTGATTCAAAGCCCATTCTCCCTCTTTTTAGCTAATTCCTTGCCTAAATTATCTTGAATCAGTAATAGAGGTCTCTTAGAATCAATGTCTGCTTTCTGATAAACTGTAAATAATAACCATTACCACCTTACCACTATGTCTGAAGGATCAATTTTCTCCACATCCACACCAAAAACAGCACAAATAGATGTTCCTATTACATAAACCAATTACTATTTAAATACACAACAAATAAAAAATCCTCCTGCTAGAGATGTTCTTTAGATTTATCCTCAGTAAGTTATTAGTGCCACAGTGGAAAAGCATATGGAGAAAAGGAAGCAGTAATAAAGATACGGAGCATGGCCTGCATGGCTCAGTAGTTGAGTATTGACCTATGAATCAGGAGGTCTCTGTGGGATTCCCAGTTAGGGCACATACTCAGGTTGCAGGCTCGATCCTCAGTATGTGGAGGCAGCTGACCAATTATACTCATCATTGATGTTTCTCTCTCCCTCCCTCCCTCCCTGAAGTCAATTAAAAAAAAAAAAGGTATCAGTAAGTGATGTTTCCCTACTTTTAATTTTATGACCATCTCTCATAACTAATTCTGCCTATGTACTATGTAGAAAACAGACAACTAAGTTGCTTTTACACCTTACACAGACAAAAGCTGACAAGTGAAGTGGTACCTACCTGTCTACAACTATATACCTATCTCTAAGTGTCTGTAGAATTTGTAAATTGGCAGGCAAAGAAGTAAATTTTTATGCATTTACCTGTATCTGCAACATTTCTCATAGTATGTTTGAAAGCCCAAATAATGGAATCTAAAACAAGTTTAAACTGTGCAGGTGGAATAGCCAGAAATGCTGGGAAACAATGAGAATTGACAGCCTGAAGTAGTAAGAAAAAGTTCGTTCTGTGCTCAGGATATTCTTCAAAGTCCTAAAAATGGTAAGAACAACAAAAAAAAGCAAGCCCGAATTTAATATACTTGTTAGCAGAATTCATAAGCTGTACGGTCTCCTGAAAGGCCAATTCAAAGACAATATAATTCACCTCTCATGGATCATAAAATTACCATTTGTTTAACAAAAGAATTATGAAAATAAGGAGACCTTAGGTCACACTGTAAAGCAACACATCAAAATGCACATAAAAGAACATCATGTGTAACGTGCTATGTAATCATTAGTAACTTGGAGACTCACAAATCAATACATTAAAATTTTTAATGTCTATAAATGCAGTTTTCAATAAATTCAAGCTACTATCTGAATGAATGCAATCTATCAAATGTACTCCTTGCTGTTATTTTATAGTAAACTAGAGGCCTGGTGCACAAAAATTTGAATAAACAAAGTATGGTAATATATACATACTAGAGGACAGGTGCACAAAAATTTGTGCACTAGGGGGGAGGGGGCGTTCTTCAGCCCAGCCAGTGCCCTCTTGCAGTCTGGGACCCCTTGGGGGATGACCACCTGCTGGCTTGGGCCATGGAGCGGGTCTAAGCTGGCAGTCAGACATCGCTCTGGCACCCTGGGAGCCCTCGGGGGATGTCCACTTGCCAGCAGGGAGCAGGCCTAAGCTGCAGTCGGATATCCTTAGCACTGATGAGGAGGCTGGAGAGGCTTCTACCACCACCGCTGTACTAGCAGTCTTCAGCCTGGCTTGTGGCTGAGCAGAGCTCCCCCTGTGGGAGCGCCTGACCACCCCTGGTGGTCAGTGTGTGTCATAGTGATCAGTCATTCCCAGTTGTTCTGCTATTTGGGTCAATTTGCATATTGCCAGTTTACTATATAGGATAGAGGTCTGGTGCACTGGTGGGGTCCCGCTGGGGTGCCTGGCCATCCTAGGTGAGGGGCTGATGGTTGTTTGCCAGCTGGCCATGGCCCCTAGCCACCGAAACGCCCAGTGGAGGCTGGCTGGAAGCAGGTATTTGGGATTTATTTATCTTTTATAATTGAAACTTTGTTGCCTTGGGCAAAGGCCACACCTGGCCAGGGCAGGCAGGAAGTTTGGCTTCCTCCATCGCCAGGCAACCAAGCCTCCTGCTTGCTTCAGCTCCATGGCTGCCGGCCACCATCTTGGTTAGGTTAATTTGCATATAGTCACTCTGACTGGCTGGTGGGCGTGGCTGGGGGGAGGTGTATTAGAGTTGCAGTCAATTTGCATGTTCTCTTTTATTAGATTAGATTAAAACAAAAACCAAATAAGCATTTCCCTGATCTAGAGGTTCAAGAATTTAACCCCAGAACCTATGCTGCACTCAAAGGTATCATTTATGCTTTCAAGAGTTTAGGATATCTTGGAGAATTTCTCATTTTATAACTGAAATGTAAATCACATTACCTTATTTATCATATTCAATGTGCATTCAAAAACAGCATCAAATATTTGAGGTATTTCAGCTGTTATATGTCCTCCCAACTTGTTGACGATAATAGCCATGGTACTAAGCACTTCTGGTTCTCTAGCAGCGGGGACATTTCTCTGATAATCAATGAGAACTGCATCCAACAAAGGAGGAACAAAATTTTCAGCTACCTGTTTAAACAAAAAACACACTTTTAAGTTTAGAAAAAAACATACATATATATGTTTAGATTTTAGAGAGAAGGGAGTGAAGGATAGAAACAGATGAGAAACATCAATCAACTGCCTCCTGCACACTGCCCAAAGTGTTACAAGGCCGCAACACGAGCATGTGCCCTAAACAGGAATTGAACCGGTAACCTCCAGGTGCTATGGGATGACGCTTAAACAACTGTGCCACACTAGCCGGGAAAAACTTTTAAACTATGCATTTGGTTACTATTATAAAAAGCTAAGTCCCTCTTGTCTCTAAGGATGCTATATTATAAACTGGAAATATACTTTGACTAGGTTTTTTGTACACTAAAGCATTTAACTGAAAGAAACCAAAACATCACAATAGGCTGGGAAGGGGCAGAACATAGTGTAGTTCAAATTTATAATTATGAAAGAAACTAAGGCCCAAAACCAAGTGACTGGCTCCAAGCAAAACCAGGATTCTAGGAATACTGTATATGAAGGATGAGGAACCTAGCAGGAAAGAAAAAATCATCCTAACCAAGATTATATCAGTTCCTTCAGTGGATAATATCTATAAAAACCAAAGTACTCCCACTCAATGTATTTTAATAAACAAAAAGAATAGCCATCACTTCTTATACAAGAAAATAGAACTTCACCAGAGAGACCATGTGAAGTTTCTATCATTGTC